CAAAGAGTGACTTTTAGAAAAGAAAGTTTCAAAACCATTTATTAACATAAATTACACAGTTTGAAGCATTTATAAAGTTAACACCAAACGCTGTTCCCATGTTGAAGCTGGGATTCTCCACCGTGACCTAATTTGTTGAACCCACGAAGAACCCGTTATTTTCGTAGCAATTATTTTCTTATTTTCGACAGATGTTTCAACATATCCTTCTGCCATGCTATCCGACTTCCAGCCTCTATGACCAAGCAACATGTTAATTATTCCCTGAAAATTTCCTCTCGTTATAGCAAATTCTACATAATTTTAGTTTTTGAATTCAGTAAGGTGATCTTGATAAATTCTTTTTCGGCTCTAACGTCTCGTGTCGTAAAATTTGTGATCTCCTCGTGTCGACAAGCACCAAACACTCCGACTATCAAAACAACCTGAAGCTATATAAATTTGAGATTGTTTTTTATCAATATGAGTTGCAATTTGCCTTCATAAATAAGAAATCCTTATCATTCATTTTCTTAAGAAATTGATTTATCTCTTCTTTGGAACAAATAAACGATTTTCTGGGTCGGGAACCTTCTGATTTCCGAGAAGAAAGCCACAACCTGATGATATTCAGAAATATCAACATTCTTCGTAATCAATACCAAGGTTCGCAACATGGAATATCGGCACCATAAGGAGGATGGTTTTAACTTCTCTGCTTGTTCAGCAAAATAGGAATGCATCACCTTGTTCAGAAACGTCACCAATTTTCTTAACTTCCATTCATTCATCAAAATATTTGTACGTATCTCGTACGTTCTTTAGATTTACCAGGAACTAACGTATCGATGGCAGATTGAGTAGCCACTTCAATATCGGAAGGCAAATTATCCTCTGAATCACTAAGGCTGGGTTTTTCCATCTCTAGTTAACTTAGGGTGGGTTTTTCCAAAATGTAGTTAACCTCTGGTTTCGTAACTTTTAGTTAACTTTAACTCTAAGTTAACTAGCAGTTAATTTTGAATGCGTTTTTCCAACAAATTTGTAAATTTGGTTAGAAAACTAACAGTTAACTATGATTTATATTTGGTATCTATGGCAACGTTTCACAAATCTGTTGTTTATTGTGATAAATGTCATTCAAATTCTTCTGGTGTGATTATTTTGTACAAAAATGAGTAACACAGAGAAAACAAAGCGGTGTTCTAACTTTACGAGAGAAGGGGAAAGGATTTTGGCCCAATTGGTTCATAAAAATAGAAATATAATTGAATGCAAAAAAAGTGGCCAGGTAACATGGGAGCAGAAGGCAAATACCTGGCGTACCATTGCAGATGAATTCAATTCCAGTGTTGGAGGGCAATTTAAAGGGGTCCAAATTTTAAAATGCAAATACGCCAATTTAAAAAAAAAGTTGCAAACGTTTATCTTTGTAAAAATTCTTTTCTATCCCATTTTTCAAAATAGTTTATACGTTCCCTTAAAACTCTTTGTTTTCGTACAGGCACCTCCTCATCGTCGCTATAAACGTTAATATCGACGAAATCCATCATTTTACTGATGACAGTTTTATAAAATCAAACGTCAAAATATGAAACTACTAGTTAACTGATACTTTGAGTTCTGGTTAAATGAAATTAGAAGTTAACTTTAAACCGTTAGTTAACGAAAATGGAAAAACACTGCAGGCCTAGTTAACTGTGAGTTAGGTTAAACCGTAAGTTAACTAGAGATGGAAAAACCCACCCTTACGGTTTAACCTAACTCACAGTTAACTAGGCCTGCAGTGTTTTTCCATTTCCGTTAACTAACGGTTTAAAGTTAACTTCTAATTTCATTTAACCAGAACTCAAAGTATCAGTTAACTAGTAGTTTCATATTTTGACGTTTGATTTTATAAAACTGTCATCAGTAAAATGATGGATTTCGTCGATATTAACGTTTATAGCGACGATGAGGAGGTGCCTGTACGAAAACAAAGAGTTTTAAGGGAACGTATAAACTATTTTGAAAAATGGGATAGAAAAGAATTTTTACAAAGATAAACGTTTGCAACTTTTTTTTTAAATTGGCGTATTTGCATTTTAAAATTTGGACTCCTTTAAATTGCCCTCCAACACTGGAATTGAATTCATCTGCAATGGTACGCCAGGTATTTGCCTTCTGCTCCCATGTTACCTGGCCACTTTTTTTGCATTCAATTATATTTCTATTTTTATGAACCAATTGGGCCAAAATCCTTTCCCCTTCTCTCGTAAAGTTAGAACACCGCTTTGTTTTCTCTGTGTTACTCATTTTTGTACAAAATAATCACACCAGAAGAATTTGAATGACATTTATCACAATAAACAACAGATTTGTGAAACGTTGCCATAGATACCAAATATAAATCATAGTTAACTGTTAGTTTTCTAACCAAATTTACAAATTTGTTGGAAAAACGCATTCAAAATTAACTGCTAGTTAACTTGGAGTTAAAGTTAACTAAAAGTTACGAAACCAGAGGTTAACTACATTTTGGAAAAACCCACCCTAATTTTTGCACATAAATTGCTTTCACTGAACGCTTGTGAAAAACGTGAACAAATCAGTAACTACGGTTACTAATTTAGCCGCCTTATTTTTTTCTCCATAAACACAATTTTAAAAATTACAAAAATATCTGTGTTAATTTTTATGAAAATTATTGAAAGTAGATAAAACGTTGTACAATATTTGTATCGTAATGTTTCTTTACGATCCTTGATGGATTATCCAACTCGCCTTCGGCTCGTTGGACAATTTTTCCATCGCGTATCGTAAAATTCCACATTACGATACACATATCGTAAATATCTATTGCAAGTCTGTATAGTGTATTAATGCAGTAATAAATTTACATTTATTAATAGTGTTGATTTCAAAAAGTTCTATTCAAAATCGTTAGTAAGTACAGTTTTATCTTATGATTATATGTACAATCGGCTCTAATACAGTTTATTCATTGCCTGTAATTTTAGGGTCAGTATTTAAACTAGTTGTTGACTATATTGTACCTACCTATCTGGCATTTAAAAAAAATGCAAAATTATTTGCATACTTGCACCACTTTTAAAAATATTGTATAATGAACTGCTAACATATACACTATTCGACAAACGCGAGAGAACTGCATTGTCGTATCCCGCTAGCTTTAAAACGCCATAATAACATGAAGCCAGACTTTAATGAAAATCACTATCTTAACTAATAATAATCAGAAAACAAAAATGTGTTGGTAAAAGTAAATCAAAAACAGTGGGCAAAGCTATGACTGTTGGTTAGCAGGTTCCTAAGTTGAAACCATTGTTGGTGTTTTCCTTTTTAAGACTACTGTATCCTTTGCATATACACACATAGATATATTTTCACAAATAAATAATTAGTAAAATTTTCAAGCAATATCCAATTATTCAAAAAGGTGCTTGCGATTTTCCGCTCTTTGTTCTAAAAAGTGTTCAACTAAATGGATCGAACGAAGGAAAAAAAACGAAATTCCGAAACTTTGCTTATTAGAAGTTTTATTGGACCACCTAAAGCAATGTGGTGAATCACTGAACTAGTTTGTATTCATTCGTCGAGCCGAATGATAATGAAAACTTATAGTTCATATTCACTCCACACATTGTTCTCATATTGTCAAGTCGTTATTTATGCAAATTATTATTATTCGAACAACTGTTGTATAGCGCAGCTATTTCAGTTACGACTTATAACTAAGTATTTCAGTGTGTACCATCTCTGCCTCCATAAAGGTTTTTGCGTACAAAAAGTCGTAAAGTTCATATACAGGTGTTGTATGTTAATGCTGACCGTTTTAGCTCCATGCAATCGTTTTTAGTTTACATTTTACTACAGGGCTGTTATTCATTTTTATGGTCAATGGCGTTTTATGTCTTTCGTTTATTTATCACAAATGGAATTTTATTAGGATTTGATAAAACGCTGAAGGTCTCTATGGCATTTGTGTTGCGATATACAAAGTTTGAGCTACAAATTACGTAAATTGTTTCCAACGAGATAAGTTTGTAATCCCTTGTAAACTAGCATGATTACAAAATTGTTATAAAGAGTAGAATTCTTTTACAAACTTCTCACAAATAAACGAGTAAATCGTGAGAATTAATTGTACACAATATATAGAATTTTCATGGCTAGTTTGACTAAAGTTTTACAAATCCTTAATTGAATTATAACAGTTTTTCTTACTAAAGTTTAGAATAGTTTTTGTATCAGGAGTTTAAAATTTATCCTTAATTGAATTTCATACAAACTTTAAATTGCTATAAACTTTAGAAATAAATTCAAAGCACAAATCCAGTCAAACTCTTCTAGTTACGTGTGGAAAGTCAAAAACGTCAATAAATGATGAACTCTTTTTAGTATTGCAGTAGGATGAATTTCTAATGTCACGTTTTTAAGATTTTAGTATAAATTAATATCAAATTTTATTAGACAGATAACATCCGAAACTACTGACGCGATTGTTGTCAAAATATCGTGTAGGTGGTAAAACGCTACGCAAACTTTCTGTAATAATTTCCACCAACAATGTGACGCCGTCACTTCAAAATTGTGCGTAGTAAATGTTATTGAAATTTTATAAAATAACATACTCCTACAGGTTCGACTAATACGTCTTGATTTTTACCCTGAGGCATCCAATTTAAAAAAAATCAAAATTTTAGAATAATATTTTACAACTTAACTTTGAAACTATAATTAATCACAATTTATCCGTTTCTCCCTCACATCCGGTGTGATTGTTGAAAATCTTGGAAGAGTGAACTTTTTAAATTTGGACTTTTATGCCTAACGGAAAAAAGAAACTGGAAGTAATTGTCAGTACGTTGACCGTTGTGTGGTCGTGAATAATTGTGTGAAACTACAATTAATCATTTCATGATTTACGCAGTTAATTACAGTGCAGCGTTATTTTGCATAGTAAATGTTGTATGTGGGATTTTAGGTGGGTTCAGGTTCACCACATATTGTGTCCAATTCAATGTTGTATCTCTCGTCCCATTGCTGGTCACAAGCAAGTCTTAAAAAGCAAACAAACTGAAAGAAACTCATGCAAACCTTATCACAATAATATTTTAAATAACTGCGAGAAATATGTTCGTGATGAAATAACCGATAAGATCGTGACCGTGTGGGTCACTTTAGTCGAGTATCGCAGTGCTATGGTAAGAGTAAGACAGAACTTGGCGAATGGTAAATGTGGATCCCCTTTATCCAACTGCTGCTGGATCAGAGTGAGCGTCAACATCTTTTATATAAAACCCCTGTTGCTTCTCGCTGAATGTATTCGCTTGAAACCAAGTTGAGAACTTGCGGTTAGTGCATCAACATACTCAGTAATTAATTCCACCAAGTTTGGTAGCAGATTAGAGGTGAGTCAGTTTTTCCACATTTTAATTATCCTCTCCGTAACCGTTTACTTATGCATACAAATATTCGTTTACTTTTGAATATTGCAAGTCAATTCGGTCTCTCTATTCTGTTTTGATTACATTTTAAAGTTTAAGCAAGGGCGTATTCTCAAATTGATTTCTGGGTTGACATGCAAGCGAAATGTGTACTCATAAGATGATTAATAAATATTAATTTGTTACCGAAATTTTAGTCAAGCGAACAGATAACCCTAATTTATTAAATTCACTAACTGGTTCCAATTCCCACACTTAATTTCAGTACTCTCTGATGTTACATTATATCAAATTACAAGTTAATTGCATACGAAGAGATCAAACGTCAAAATCTGAACGTGGAAGCTCGTCACTTCATTGAACTTCATTGATATCCTAACCAGAACCACTCCGGCTTCAAATAGTTATTTTTTTCGCGTATCAATGCTTCCGTTTCGTAGCAATATCTCATTACACGTCAATCTTGCTGGCTGACATGCGCAAAAAATAACTTCCTGTTGGAAGTATGACAGGAATATAGTTGAAGTTTTATATGTGGATATTGTAACAGTTATCATAATGACACTTTACCAAAAAAATTATCCAAATTAGATTAGCTGTTTTTGAGATAATCAGAAAAATACAATTGCTTCATATATATTTTTTCTTGTAATAAGGAAGTTTGGAATTGCAGTAGGCTGTGTAAGTTTTTTTAATATCTGTTTTCACATTTTTGCTTACATGTTAATGTTAGTTTACCTAATATTTTGTAAATCTGAAATTTCGTCGTTAAATTCAAGTGACATTTGATTGGCATTTGCGGCGGGTGGGTCGAGTGCAGTTTGCGCGTCAGCAGTAACATAAAACTGCAATTTACAGCTTACTCTGGACCGTTGGTTGTCACCGAAAGTAAATACCAACTACAATTTAAAAATTCAATTTTGTTTTAATGTTGAGACTTCGCACTTTCTAGTTTATACCCATTTACAGCAAAATGCCACAAACCGTCACAACTCATATGTAATCAAGATAAACTGAAGCTATGCCCTGAGTGCAACATTGACAAACGATTTGAAATCCATTATGACTCGATTACATGATGAAACGACCTGTACGTCAGTTAACTGTTTGATTTTTCCAGATGGCCTTGTTTAACCTGTTAAAAGTTATGTGGATCACCGCGGCTTTAATAACAATGGCAGCAGTTTCGTCCGGGTTATCTTTGCACAAGCTCTCCGCAAGCCTCAGTAACGTGCGAAATTTGGATGAACAAATACGACTCGCATACAAACCGGAAGCTGAAGAAGCTTTTCGTCCGGGGAGGTTTTTGGTAGATAATTCCAGCGACGATGATTTCATCAGAGAAGACAGAACAATAAAATTTCCAAAGCTAATGCGTACGACGACTTCTTAACCTGATTCCGACTGACTGGTAAAAGTGCGGGAATAACCATGCGTTGTATCGATAAACGACCAGCGGAGAAATCCGCAATTGTCTGGTGAATCATGAGTGACCTGTTGGGTTACTTAATTTTGTGTTGTTTATTGTGTAATAATATTTATTTTATTTATTTTAATGTGTACTTATTTTGTTGCGTTTTATTGACGAATTTTATTAGCACTGTCGCAGTTCGTATAGTGTGGATAAAGCTGTATGGAAGTTTATCTGTTTAAAGAACTATTCATTTCAATTTTCTCGTAAACTATTGCAGCGGGAATATCATAAACAGTCCAATGTGGCTTAAGGCGTACATTCCAAAATGGGTTTCTATGGTTTTAAGATTACGGTGGATATGCCGATCTATATTTCATGTGCAAAGTGAGCATTCCGTCGCTTTATTGAAATATGTTGAGATTTATAACGGTTTAAAAACTCATATCCGACAACTTTATAAAGTTGAACAAGAATTCCATTAGAAAAATCTAATATAAAGTTTTGGAAGTTCCTTCCTCAAGTTAGGCTCAATAGTAATTACATTCGAGCGGTTTCATACATATACGTTGATACATATAAAATGCAAAAAATGTTTTACATTTACGTGGCACTCTGACACAAATGGAAAACACCAGTTTTACAAATTTTATATTGGTTGAAGGGTGCTGCTGTATTACGACATCATAGATATTATTTACTATTTAAATTAAACTATTATTTTATAACATATAGATATCATTTTCGAAGAATATATTGTGAAGTTTAATTTTTACGAGTTTCATTTTTTTGTACGATGTGGAAAGTAAAAACTTGAAATTTATTAAGTGCAAAACAGTGAAATTTGGAATGTTAGAAAGTTATAGCATTTTGAGAGTCTTTTGATGAATGGCTAATTTTATGTTTTCTCAACGCTTCATAGCTCCGGGAATATGAAAAAGTAGGGCCCCCGTTTGTGTTTGTTGACTTTATTGGAGGATATGTATTAATGTAGCTATTTTAAGGACAATAAAAATTGAAAAATGGAGCAATCATTGAAAACTATGATTATTATGCGAGGGAATTGACAAACAACAATTAATTTTGTTAAAATTATTAAATGGGCTTTCTTGGACATGTAATGATTGTCGCTCGCCCTCTAATACTGAGAAAGATTCATGTAGTTGCTGTTAGATTATTCCCTTTTTAATTGAAAGCATTAATAAGTTCACTGATACGGCCACTTCACAGCAACTCATGTCTTCTACTTCCCCGGACATCGAACATATAGTTAACGAACTAAAAGAGCGTCAAAAGAGGAGCAAAAATATCATTGTAGTTGGTATACCTGCGCCCTAGCAGAACTTACCTAAAGAAGAAATCTATAACAACGATCTGGAGGCCGCAACGAATCTTTTAAAATCAATCAAACAAGATTTTCATTCGAAAAATGTAAACATTTCTAGGCTCGGGTTTATACCTCTGATAAACCTTTAAGCTTATTTCCTTTTGGCATTTCTAGTAACTCTATATAACGTTTCTATCAAAATGTATGCGAGTTGAGTTCTAAATGTGTTGAATTTTACAACAATGTCTCAGCAAGTAATTTTGAGTTTATCTTTCTCACAGAATCTTGGCTTACTAGTGATATTCGGTGTAGTGAACTCTTTCCCACCAACTATACTGTTTTTCGTAAAGACCGTTCTATGGAATGTACAGATTTGTGTAGAGGTGGCGGTGTTGTTTTTGCTGCTAAAAACTGTTACTTTTGCACTGAGATCGATTTTTAATCAATAACCAACCATTTTTCCTTCTATTGATATTGTTGCTGCAAGAGTGGTTATTTATAAATGTTAATCTTTATTTATTATTGTTTTATATATTCCACCTTACACTCAATTTCAGCAATTAGATTTATTTTTTGACTCATTTAGTTCCCTTGAGATTTTTTCTAATGACAATCACTTTTTAGTGATAGGTCTCAATACTCCTAATTATACAAGCAGCTATAGTGACAGTTTAGTGAGACATTAAATACATATTTTTAAAACATTCCATGGATTCTCCCAATAGAATTCAATTATTAATTGTAACAATCATCTTTTGGACTTAGTTTTTTCCAATCTTATATCTTTATCGGTTGATAAAGCATTCTCTTCATTAGTTGATGGTTATAAATTTGAACAAAATCTCTTTTCGCTATTTACAAACTTTTCAAATGAACAGCTTGAACAATAACTTCAACTTTAAAAAAAGCGAATTTTCATCAATTTTAGCAACAACTTTTGGCTATTGATTGGGGTTTAAAAATTAATATTGATAAAGTGGAAGAAGCATGTTCCAAATTTTATGAAACTCTGTACAGTTTATTTGACTCAACCGTGCCTAAATATTCTCTCTCAAAGCACTTGTTAATATTGCTTACAAAAAATACTTATCCGACTTAGAACAATCGATTTTTGTTGATTCCAAAAAGTTCTGGAGCTCTATTCAAAGCAAAAAAGGAACATCTAGAATTCCAGGCCTTATGATCTATAAAGGTGTTGAGTTATCTGATCCATCTGAAATTGTTGACGTTTTTGAAGACTTTTTCAATAGTGTGTTAATTGCTTCTAAACCTATGGAGTACTCTCAGTTCATTTCTAACACTAATTCTAATATTCCTATTCCACCGTGCCAAATTACTGCTGAAGATGTTCTGATAAATTTAAAAGAATCCAAGGATTCTTTCACAATGGGTATTGATGGAATTCCCTTTTTCTTACCTAAAGACTGTGCGCAGATTCTTGCTGAGCCACTTTGTATTAATATTTGATCTAATAGTAAAGAAATCCGTCTTTCCTTCACTTTGGAAGAAGGGTTATATTTGTCCCATTCTTAAGAAAGGACAGCAGAACCGGGCGACAAATTATTATAGAGGTATTTCGATACTTTGCAACTTTGCTAAGGTTTTCGGATCAACTTTGTATTATCACATTTACTTATCGACGAAGCTATTGATTTCATCTTGTCAGAAAACATCGACCAGTACAAATTTAGCTGTATTTTTCCAATATAAATATATCAGAACTAATTGATAGACAATGTGATGTCATGTATACTGATTTGGAAAAGGCTTTCGATAAAATAGATCATTGTTTATTACTACAAAAGCTCTGTAATATTGGCTTCACAATTCCTTTATTGAAACTTTTAATCTCTTATTTGACCGGTAGAATCTCATTTGTAAATTGTACTCCATCTTCTGGGGTCCCACGGGGATCGAACTTAGGACCCTTGGTGTTTTTGCTCTTTATTAACGATCTTCCTGATGCTACTCCCTGTAATAAACTTATGTAGGCCGATTATGTCAAATTATATGGAAATTAATTCCATTAATGATTGCTTAATTTTGCTTTACCATTGGTGTATTCCAAATAGATTAATGGTGAATATGTCTGAATGTAAAGTTGTATCAGTTGCAAATTTTATTTCACAAATCATTATAAAGACATTATTCCTAAGGCTTACAAGATGTATGGTTTTATTTATCGCAATTGTAGAGAATTTGTAAATCAGCGAACTCTTATCACATTATTTTCTTCTTTGGTGATAGCAAGACTGGAGTACGAAGCAGTTATTTGGTACCCCATCTACGCAATCCATCGGCAGGAGATTGAGTCTGTACAACGAAAATTTTTAAAATTCTTAGCTTTCTAACAAGACAGTGTTTACCCCCCACGTGGTGTGGACCATTCAGATCTTTTGAAGAGATTCAATTTTACATCACGGCTCTTGATTCGCTTCTTATATAATTTTCTTCATAATAGAATTGACTTTTCTGTGCTCTTGGGTAAAATTAATTTTCTTGTACCACGATTAAAAACGCACCAACATATTTTTTTTTTATATTAACTTGGCTAGAACTAATTCTATTAATTACTAATTTATTTAATAGTATTTCTAATAGCTGTGATATTCATAGTGGTTCATTAATTTTGATCTCTGCTAACTTGCTAAACATTGCATTGCTCTTATTATGTTTAAGGTTACTTAGTGTTTTGTCAATTTTTTAGTTATTTTTGTAGGAGTTAATTTGGTTTCTGTAATTGGGATTTCTTCGTGTTGAAATTAATAAATATTATTATTATTATTATGAATTCATTGAAAATGTCAGATTTCTTCTTAAAAGCCAAAAAAGTTCATTCAATGTATCTAAACATTTTTTCAAACTTTTATTACTCAGTTTTATAAAAAAAATCGTATTTTATGAATACCTTGTAGTAGGAGTACTTGACTAAACTTAATTTTAAAAGAATTTCTTCCATTATTCGAAATTTTGTTTCTACGATTTATGCCAGCATGTGATTGTAAACGTACATGCAAATGGATGTACAGTATGGGTGAACATAGACCCTGCAGAATTAGCATTTAATATTCGAAATGAAATGCATAAATCAAAGCCATAACATTTGACAATGGAGCGAAACTTTTGTTTGTTAAAACATGTGCCTCTACACCTATAATTATTGGAAATCATTTCTAGATTTATAAAAATAACCACATTATGTTATGTTAAAAAGAAAGATTAAAACGCGAAGTTATAGAATTGTCAAAAATTACCACAAATTGACTGCAAAATGTGCAACAAATGCTCCCGTCTGTTAGTCATTTTATTTAGTTTCTTTTGTAGCTGCAACAACCTTCAGAGTTTTACGAAAAAACGACTTGATTTTGAACGAATATTCTTGTAGCTGCCAACAATGTGGTTATAATAACTTTATGGCTTTCTGCAAAGAACCTTTGTTTCTAGATCGTCGAACTAACAAGAGAATAAGTGATGGACTGAATAATTAATTCGCACAACCTCAGACTTAATTAAATCATTTCAATTGAAGTTTTATACAATCTTTCTGACTTTAATCGTTTTAATAGACAGAATATGACTTCAAAGCTCAAAGTAATTCGACTTTTTACGGCTCTGAAGTTTTCAAAAGTTTCTAAGCTCGTGAGTGGACCGACCCAGAGAAATCTTAACATTCTATTCATTTGATAAACTTCTGAGTAGTTTATTCACGAAATAAATAGATAGTCCCAACGTCAATAACCCGAAAATACGAATTTATCTTAGTTACGCACCAACAGCTGTCAATAAGATTTGGGGTTGTGGCTTGACTCTGA